ACTTTGGCACAGCAGCATATTAAAAAACACACCAGGAATGCTGATAAATGGTCTGTTGACCCCTTTCCCTAGTGCCTTCTCTAAGATTCCCACCTTTACAAAGTCCTGGATCCTGTGGCTTCACAGGAGAATTTGATAAAAACATTTAAGGAAGAGCTAACCCTTATCTCTTAAAATCCTCAAAACAAAAGATCCAGGGCATGCTCTCATTGGAGGACACCTGCACCCCTTCCTTTTTTGAGGTGTGTACTTTTTATCTCTCTTCTAACTCTAAGGATTCCCTCCAGAGTGGCAACCAGAGGAGTGGTGGGCAGTGGAAGATCATCCTGGGCTAAAATCTTGATCCTGCTCCCCAGGTCCCCTTTTCTTTGTCTTTCTCATGAGCTGGTAAGAGCCCTCCCTTGGCTCACTTCTGTCACTATGACTTTTACTTGTTAGTGACTCCATGCAGCCCACTTCTTTCCTGTAATACTTCTAGGGAGCCAAAGCAGAGCACTGCCCAGGCTCTCTCCTATTTCTTCTATCCTGTGTCCTGTATCCTGTTTGTTTCACTGTCTCAGTTTTAATAAACATACTCTCAAAATCATTTGAACTTATATTATGAAATCTTTCCTACACAAAGTCAAGGACCTACACACTCTAGACTGGCCAGAGACAGACGAGGTCACAGTCTACTTCCTTTCCCATTGACATTATGAGGAATGCCTTGCCTGCTCCTGAGCCCTATGAGAAAACTTTTTTTTTTAAGTTTTTATTTGTTCATCTTTTGAGGGCAAGGGAAGGAGAGAGGGAGAGAAACATCAATATATGGTTGCCTCTCTTGTGTCCCGTGTTGGGAACTGGCCTGCAGGGAACTGGCCTGCAACCCAGGCATGTGCCCTGACTGGGAATCGAACAGCGATTGTCTGGTTTGCAGGCCCACGCTCAATCCACCGAGCTACACCAGCCAGGGCGAGAAAACTTTATAATGGGAATTTTTAAATTCAGAGTTAAAAAACCCATGTAAGCAACTATAACACCCTTACTAATTTATTACAAAAGCCCAAACTTTATTTTTTTCTTATCAGTGAATCTTGGACCTTATTAGAATCATTTCTCCTTTTTTATTTTATTTTTTCATTAATTTTATTTAGTTATTTTTCAAGTACAGTTTTTTTGTCTATTTCTCCCATCTCAGCCTCCCCCACCCCTTGCTCCCCACCTCCCTCCCATTTCCACCCCCCTTAGTTCTCGTCCCTGTGTCCTTCCTATTTGTTCCTCCAAATCCCTCCCCCTTTTCCCCCTTCCCTTCCCTCTCCCCTCTGGTCGCTGTCCCCTTGTTCTCTATTTCAGTGTCTTTTCCCTATCAATTACAAGTATTTCTTTGTCTACATAGCGTAAAAAGGTACCCTGTTCCATTATTTATTTGAACCTCACTTTATGACGTGTGCATCATATTGTGAATCTCCCATGTGCATGTATTTGACAGTTTTTCTTCTGTTTATTTAGCCTTGTGTCAATTTGATTTTTTTGTCCAGTGTTAATAATAATAATAAAAGTGTAGAAAAGGGAATTCCTCTATTCCCTCTTCCTTCCCAAACACCCCACTCAAAAGGAAGTCACTGGAAATGGGGAAGTCCCAGATGCTCCTTCGTGGTTTTTAAGGATCTATAGAAACAGTAGATTATAATACCCAGCTGGATGGAAGCCTCTGCCATCATCATTATTAGCAAATGGTTTGTGGAAACATTCTCTCAGGATGCAGAAGAGGAGGAGGAGTATTTGCAAACTGTTTTTTATTTAAAAATAATCTCAAGGGGGACTTTTTCCATCCCTATGACATTTATAGATTCAGGGCCTGGTATTTGTAACTAACTAGTTTCAATATGAAGCAGGAGTGGCAGTTATTGATACAGAGGCCAGAGGCATCATTTTGAAAATTACTGAACCATGTATAAACCTTCCATATTTCTAGATCTAACTTAGAGGCATTTTCCAAAAATGCCTTGTGCTCGAAAGCCTTCTTTCAAATTTTAAGTTTGATTTTTAAACTTAATCTTCAGAGTTTAGAAATGACAATAATGTTGTATTTAGCATTGAATGCAGGCCTCCTTACAATCACTTTTATAATTGAGAAAAATAAGGCACAGGAAAGTTAGAGAAATTCCTCACTGTCAAGCCTTTAAGTCAACAGCAATACCTGAATGACTTATTTTTCTAAGGGGAGGTGTTGAACTCTATAATCTCCAGATAAATTCATCTCAATCCATCAGATATTCCAGTTATTTCATGTAGGTGCTCATGTAGCATCCACCAATGCGAGCAAGCTTTCAGGAGTTTAAGATGGAACTTTATTGGCCAAAGTTTCAGAGTTTTACCTGCGCAGGGGCGAATTCTCGGGGTGTCCGGAGACACGGTGCCAAAATGGCTGCAGATGAGAGTCGCGCCTGGTGCTTACAGCCTAGGGTTTTTATTGGGGTGAGCAAACAAGCAAGCAAACAAGCAAATACAGAAGCAGACGTAGCTGTTAGCAATTGGCTATCTTGAGAGAACACACACATCTCTGCTTACTACAATGGATACTTTTCCGCAAAGACAAGGCCATGCAAAGACAAGGTCATGCACAGGCGGTTTATCTCATTCAGCACTCTTTGTACTTTCTTTACTTTTCTATCTCCCTTGCTGAGACAGTCTGGTGCCTGCCTTGGGTTCCTCCTTGCTAATTTTATCTAATTCTGGCCTAACCTAACACTCACAATTTTATAGCAATGAAAAAATGTCACACTGAAGACATTTTTTCAAAAATCACTTTAGAGTGTTATCTCCCCCTGTTAGGTTGTAGTTGCTCAAGAAATCAGACCCACACCGAGAGCTAAGCAACAGGGTTTATTAGCATGGAATAGGAGGGAAACTGGGGCCAACCTAGGGAGCTTGGGGAGCCACCAGAGGAGGTTGAGACTCACTCAGTTGCTCTTAGGGCAGGGTTTTTAAGCACAAAAACCCACGAAAGGTAACTGGTTGGGGTGTCAGAGTCTGACTGGCTAGAGCCGGTTGCTGGGTGCCCATTTCTGCTGACCCCATTTCCTTGATAAATCTTGTCAGGCTCAAGTTGAAGCTGCATCCTGTTATGCCAGATAGGCTGACCCCAGACCCCAGGCTTAGCTCGGGCACCTGTTTGTCCTGTGTAGGGTGGGCAGGCAGCTCCCCAGCCAGGCATTTTCCCAGGCTAGTTTCCACAGTGCGGTTTTCTTGCCTGGTGATTTTCCATTCCTCCTAGGCCTGCCTAGGTCTGTCATCACCAAGTCAGGAGGAAGATCGAGGATGAGACAAAGAGGGTCTGGTGGAGCAAAGGCCCTCTACTGCTGTGAAAGCTGAGTCACACGAATCACCGAGTGGCCAAGGCCTTCCTTTGAGGTTACAGAGCTTGGAGATGGCTACATCAGACAAAGCCAGAATTGCAGTAAAGGAATGCGGGTCGAGCTAGGTATCAGTCAGGATGTTATTATCCTCCACTGGTTTCCAAGAGCAGTTTCGTGAGGCTGTTACAAACATCCACACAGACATAAAAGGGGAAAGGACCTTATGAAGGGCATGTTGGAGACTGGGTTTTAATTTTTTTAAAGGTTTTATCCATTTATTTTAGACTGAGGGGAAGGGAGGGAGAAGGAAAGGGAGAGAAACAATGTGTGGTTGCCTGTCATGCACCCCCAAACTGGGTACCTGGTCTGCAACCCAGGTATGTGCCCTGACTGGGAATGGAACTAGCGAGCCTTTGGTTTGCCGGGGGCAGTCAATCGACAGAGCCACACCAGGCAGGGAGAGCTTGGGGTTTTGCTTGTCCTGTTTTTTTTTTTGCACCCTTGTTGCGGTTAGTGTGTGTTGGTGGACTGGGGCGGGTGCCCAAACACCAGATAGTCTCTAATTTTATCACTGGTTGGTTGTAGTCCAAGACCCGACCCAAAGGAGTTGCGAGGTTGGGTGGTGACATCATCTCATTTCCATAGCAATGCCCACCTAGCTCTGCTGGACCGCACCAGGCACTCTGCAGTGGTCACTTAGCAGATCGGACTTCTCTCGTTCGTGGGCCTCCCTCGGGTGAGCCCTGGGACCCGTGCACTAGACTAGCGTCAGCTTCCTTCCCACCCGGGGCCCGCATCCCTATTGCTGCAGCGCTAAAGCAGACAGCACGTGGCCCTCCCAACAAGGGCTGCTTTGGAGACCTGGGGAATGCTGAATCCTTGCAGATACCGGTTAACAGGGGGGTCGGGCCGGGGTAATTAAAATTTTTTAAAAAGCCACAGAAACCAAACCAACAAACCCAAAAAACCAACCGGGTGTTTTGTCGCGTCCTGGAGGGCTTTCTCCATTACCTCCTGGGCAGCAATAAATCAGGGACAGAAAGATTCTTTGTTCCAACTCACACCCATCTTAGCCCTGAGGTAAAAGAATTACATTTCTCCTCTAGCCTCGGGTGGCTTCCTGGCCAGTGGTGTCGAAGGAGTAAAAAGCCCTTGCGGGAGACTGGGTGCAGAGGTTTGCGTATTGAGGATGATTTAGGGGGGCAGCGTTGTGCGGCTGGCTGCATTGTTGCGCGCCGGGAGGAAGCGGGTAGGGCGGTGGTCGGAGGCGCCGCCTTTGTCACAAAGGAAAGCGGCACAGGCCGCACATTTGCAGGGAGAGAGCACCAGTAGGAAATGGAAACACTCTTCTGGGCAACCTTACCTTTATTTTAAGAATTTTTCTCCCCCATAACCTCACTGCTCTCCTAACCAGATTTTCATGATGAAACGTTGCAGTTAGCCGCAGCACTCAGTCGGCCTCCCAATATGAGAGCCATCTTCCCAGGGTGGTCCCCACATTTCGCAATACTGCAACGGGATGGGGGGACTTTTTTTTTGTAGAAAGACGGGGTTTTAGTCGTGAATGACTGCGGAAAGAGGCGGAGGTGGGGTTTCAGGATGGGGATGCGAAGGCCAAAGCGCACTAAGCCAGGAGAAACGAGACTGAGTGGCTCAACCCTCACACTCCCTCCGTGGCTTTGTATCTGCAGCTTCCTCAGCAACCATGTCTGATAAACCCGATATGGCCGAGATTGAGAAATTCGATAAGTCGAAATTGAAGAAGACAGAGACGCAAGAGAAAAATCCACTGCCTTCCAAAGAAAGTAAGCTCAAGCCCCCCCGCCCCCAGGCTGGGCGGGAGTCGAGGGGGGGGGGTGGAGGATGGGAGGGGCCGGGAGAAGAGTTGGGGGGAGGGCGGGGGGAGAGCCCACGGTTCCTGAATAATGGCCAGGAAAGTTTAATTAAAAATGCTTCTGCAGCCGACAAACAGGGCTTTAATAATTGGTGCAATGATTAATGTACTGTATAAATATGCATACGCTTTTGTCTGGTATTCCTAGTTAATATAAGCCTTCATGATGAAATGCCTATTGTTACTCATAGGATTTTTACAGTTAGGAAAGATGTTTTAAATGCAAGTACTATGATCTTACACTAGACCACACCGAATCTGCATAACCGATCCCCTCCATCTTTTTTTTTTTTTCTGACCACAGCGATTGAACAGGAGAAGCAAGCAGGCGAATCGTAATGAGGCCCGCACCGCCAATATGCACTGTACATTCCACAAGCATTGCCTTCTTATTTTACTTCTTTTAGCTGTTTAACTTTGTAAGCTGCAAAGAGGTTGGATCAGTTTAAATGACTGTGCTGCCCCTTTTCACATCAGAACTACTGACAATGAAGGCCGCACCCGCCTCTCCCATCTGCCTCTCTAGCTGGCAGGGAAGGAAAAGAACTTGCATGTTGGTGAAGGAAGAAGCTGGGTGGGACGACAGGGAAATCTAGAGTTAAAACCAAGCTGGTCCAAGGTGTCCTGCAGGCTGTAAAATGCAGTTTAATCAGAGTGCCATTTTTTTTGTTAAAATGATTTTAATTATTGGAATGCACAATTTTTTTATATGCAAGTAAAGTTTTCACAAGTGCCTCCTGTAAATGGTTCAAGAAGTGGCTACTCTAAGAAGAAATCTGAGCGAAAAGCCCTGCCTGCCTCATGTTCTCATTACAGACAAATGACACAAATCTGATGATTTTGGTAATTTCTGTTACAATGTAGAAATTGATTTCACCAATTATGTAGACTAGCTAACAGTGAGATCATTTTCTTAGGCTGACAATTACTATGAGCTGTATGAAAAGTTTTAGATATTTACAACCAGGTTCTGATAAGCCAACAAAATAGATGGAAATTAAGATGTCAATATTTGGAGCATAGAATTTCTGGCATGAAATTGAACTTAATGAGTTCTTAACATTGGCACAAAAAGAATTCAAGCAGTTTTTTGGGAAAAATGAGTGAGAAAAGCAATTTTCTGTTTGTGAGTCTGTTGCTGGTGGAAATGGTTTCCTTTCATTGAATCGTTAGAAAGCATTTCTAGAGACTGACACTTGACACAATGAGGTTAGTGACAAGATTCATCAGAGAAGCAAAATCAAAGGGCTGCCCCTTGATTCTCAGTATTCCATCTTTCATCTGTACCACTTTGGGAAAAAAAATATCCAGCTTTGTCTTCATCAAACCCAGTACAGTTGCCAAGGTCCAAAATTTCTTTGCCATGCTGAAGCTTAGTCCAACTTAGTCCATGTTTTACCTGGATGTCATAGTCTGCTCCTAGTTATGCTCTGGTGAGTGCTGTGCCCAGACCCCTGTGGTCCACAGTGGGTGCAAAGTGGCTGCCAGGGCCACATGACTACTATGGAGAGAAAATGTGAGTAAGAACCAGATGAGCAAATGTACTGAACAAGACAGAGTGAGAGGATTAGAGTTCTTTGTTAATCTTGTGTTGTGACCTGAGGTTTGGAAAGGACTGGGTGCCCTTTCAAACTAACCAATCAGCTTCCCAATCTTTCATGGACCAGTGCTAGCTCCTCACCCTAACCACTTTTTTAGATCTTCTTGTGCCCTTATTTAATCTGATCATTTTCCCAGATCAAACTGGTTTCTATGATCAACATCTTGGCTTCTACTGTGCATACCTCAGAGTAGAAGTACCTGGGTACCTACCTGGTTTCTGTTGTGCATATGCTCAACAGAGGTATTTACCCTTCATTGTATTATCCCTCTCCTGATAGCAGAAACTAGCAGTGTTAATCTGCTTGGCAAGGAAATACTGTGATGCCCAGGGTTGCCTGTGAATGCTACAACTCCCCAGTGAAACTAGCAGGCTTACTTTCCAATTGCTATCCGAAGTTTATCATGCTGGTTAATGTCTCATTTCCTTTGCTCCCTTTATTAATATCTGGCTACCTTCACTAACAATTCTTCACTTTGTAATGACCAACTTTCAGTTAAAATTATTTAAAAGTGTATTATATAACATAGTTACATATGGTACTTATAAATGTGCTTTGAGAACAATTGAATTTTATTTAAGTAAAAATCTGGCTTTTAAAAGAAAATTTATTATGTTATAAGTGATATTTAATTCAACATAAATTAATTGGCTTACTTCCAGGTTTTTATTGTCAATAATTTATAATGTTTCCAATGATAAGTAAAAGTAAAGTCTTTAGTGTTTGGTTATTTAAGTGTAGAATGAAACAAATAGGTTTTTTTTGCCTAAGAGTCAACATGTTCTTTAATTGAATTGTACATTTTTAGAAAGGTTTAATATGAACAAAAGCAACTAAAAAAGTGTAAGTTGCCTAATATTTTATTTTAACCTTAAAATGCAAATGTCTAAGAAGTTAAACTTTTTCCCAAAAATTGCCTTCTGAAGATGACTTTTCAGAAATGCAGTAGGAATTGATGATGGGGGTAAAGGAGGCTGAAAATTATTATTAAATGGTTTACTTCCATTTCCTTTGCCTAACACTTATTTTGAGAAATGCATAGGAAAAGAGTACCTGTGATTTAGTGTTAAATAGATTATCAGCTAGAACCCTTTATTTGCTTTGCAAAGGAGAGGGATATCAATTAGAGTCTCTTAAATTGGAAGTGCCAAACCTGATGGAGAAAACATATGCACAATATTGTAGTTTTCTCAAGAGGTAGCAGGGTTTTCCAACACTACATTTCTTTCCCTGCTTGTAAGTCCAAGGCACAAAAATAAACCTACCACACAGACTGGAGGTCCAAGTGTTACCGAACAAGAGGCCCGGGGGAGGGCAATATTTGGCCCACCTAGGGATGCCAAATATTGCTACATAACAGGGGCCCCTCCCAAGGACAGAATACTAATATCTACTGGACTCTTCTGTCCGCCGCCAATTGGAAAGACATCTCTCAATGCCAGAAATTCACGAAAAGGAAAATGAAATGTTTATTTAATGCTATTCAGGCCTAATGCCTCCACCAAAATATCCAAGTCCTTTAGGGTATACTCCTACTCCTGTTTGGGGAAATTGATAGCTATTTTAAAATATAGCACAGCAATTAGGGGGCTGTTCTTACAGCCCGGGTGTTTAACAGCCCAGTGATTTACTTTGTTTCTTCTAGCTTATCACCTACATACCAGAGATAGTGACGAGCTCTGCTTTCCGCTTCTGTAAATTGTCTCCCGCTTTGTTCTGAAGAACAGGCCTCCCCCCCCCCGTTCTATAAAACAGCTGCTTTCCCTTTGTTCGGGGCTCAGAATTTGGAGACTGACTCCTCTGAGCCCGTACACGTTAATAAATCTCATACTCCAGAAACCCTTGGTTTCTGGTTGCTTCATTTTCCTGCAACATTTGGTGCATTGGCCGGGAAGTCACCTTACACAAATTCGGGCCAACTTGCTGCCAGCTGGATAAGTGAGCAGCGGCTGGAGTTCCAACTGGAGAAATGGGGGTGCACATGCCCTGAGATTTCTCAGACCCCGCCGGATGGGGGCTCACGGCCCCCAGCCCGCACTGCAGACGGGAAGCGAGGGTTTTGGACTAGGACCTGACCTGAGACCAGGGGCGCCAAATCGGTAAGAGCTCCGGGGACCTGACCCGAGACCAGACAGAGGCTGATCGCCTCAAATGAGAAATCTGGGTCAGGTTCATGCTGAGCCCAGCCACCTGACCCTCACTGGGGGAAGGATCTGGGTCGAATTCATCTGAGTTCCGCCACCAGCTAGGTTGGTTCGAGCCCAACCATCAGGAATTAGGTGAGAGGGATTGTTTAAATTCAGAGTGCTTGAGAGTGAAAGTGTGAGTGAACGTGCCCCTGCCCTCTGTGTGTCCGCACTGAATCTTGGGGCTCGGCGGGCGGGTAAGCGCATATCCAGCGCTCCAAGCCCTCTCAGCTGTATAAGTGAACCCGAAACTCAGAAAAGAATTTCTTTGATTGGAAAAGTGCGCACACCCTGGGCCTGGGCTGCGCGTCTCTCTCCTCTTTCCCCCTGATCCGCAAGGAGAAGTGGGGGCGGGGTGGACTGTCCCCAGTGCTCCCTGGGCTGGTCACGCTGTCCGGCCCAGAGGGGTAGGAGGTTTCCCCGAGGGTGGGCCTGGGGTCTTCTCCGCCTCCAGGAGCATCCTCCACCTCGCGCCCTAGGGATGCGTGTCCCCTGCAGTGGCCCGAAGGATGCCCCGGTGTCACCCGCCACTGGGCGGGGTTGAATCCCAGAGGCCCTGGAGGGAGGGAGAGGAGGAGTAGGGTCACAGAGGTGAGAGTAAAGAAGCGGTGTCAGGGCCCCGGGCCTGACTTCAGTGTGCCAACAGCAGCCGCTGCCACACGCTACTACCAAAGAGATTTAGAACACTGACCAGAGTTGTGCCAGCTCTGTTTCCTAGCAACAGGTAAGATTTCAGTGAGCCGGCGGGGCTGGTAGCATTGAAGCTGGTTTTCCAAGCGCCTCATCTTGCCGTGTGAGGAATTTTTAGTTCTAAGATATTTGCCAGTAAAGACCCTACAATCCAACTGGTCTGGCAATTGTAAAATGGGCTCATCATACTTTTAAAAATCTCTTTAACAAACAAAAAGGGAGAGTCTTGAGCCTTCCCCCGCCCCCAATTTAATTTTATTGGCCATTTTAACTCTTAACTTGGAGAAGAGGGTATGCTGTTTGCTTTTCAGAATGACCTTTAGAACCGCAGGCGATGAGAGTGAAGCCATATCACAGAAAAGGCTTCCCCAATGGGTGACGCATCTGCACACATAGACACTCCTGATCCAGATTTCTCCAAGCTGTGTGGAATTCCAACCAACACCCCTGGAGTGGTCACCTAAGAGGGACTTTTCCTACCAACTTAAAGTGACTATATTAATGCTGCAGGACATTTAACGCTTAACCAAGCAGGAGTTTTCTCTCAGATTCTTCATGCTGAACTGTCTCACCCCGAGTTCAGACACTAGCCCTTGCCGCATATCTTTAAAGGAACTTAGTTCTTCCCAAAATTGAAATAGAACCACACCTGTTATGTTTGTCTTTCCCATGTAATTATATCATGTAATTATATCGTCTTTCAACTGACTGAATTTAGGAGTTTAAGTTATAGCAAATAGCAGATTTCACAGGCTTATTTCGATTTAATTTTTAAACAAGAATAGGAAGATATTGCCGACCGCTCTGCCTAATTTTAGGAATTGTACCTCTGCCCCTTGGGGCTAAGGGTGAGAGACGACCTCTGGAATGCCAGCCGCAGGAAACAAAGCCTGTCTCTGGTAGCAAACGCTGCCTCAAGTTCCTCTCCCTGCCCCCAAAGCTTGGTCGGAAGTCAATAACAAGTGGGACCCCTCACCGCTGGGGGCAACCTAGGTCAGACTCGATCACCTGGGAGGCCTTCATAGAAGGACTCGGGGGGACTACAACAAAGAGCAATGGACTCTCGCCCCCCCCCCCCCCCGCTTTGACAAAGCCCTGAGTCCCCATGAACTCTGGGAGAAGCACTTCCTGGCTCCAATCCTCTTAGACCTGAATGCCTGCTGGGGAGAGGTGCAGCTCCTTGCCTGGCTGGATGGGTCCTGGGGAA